GTCTTTCCTTAAAGATAGAATCTTTATGATCTTTTGGTGTGTTCTTGAAGTGGGTGTGGAAGGTGAACCTTATTAGGAGCTTGGTGAAGTGTTAAGTGAAGGTTTTTGTCTACAAGAGGTAACCCATGCAATACAAAATCTATTTTGCTTACCTATATGATGATTTATTGGATTCTACTTGTGATTTTGCTATGAAATGTGAGTGTTGATGCATTGTCTTGTGAAAATGCATATCTAGAGCTTATTATTAGGGTTCTTGTATGCCATTGCTTGGCTATTCCTTTGATTCAAGTCATTTTGTTGTGTTTGGTGAGATTTGGCATGTTTTGGACTTGAATTTGAGCTTGGTGTTGAAAATCCCCGAAGGGATGTTTTTGGTACAAAGGTTGTACCCGCGGGCGGAACGGCGGGTAGGGGTCCACCCGCCGCCCCACCCGCGGGGTACAGGGTGTTTGGGAAGTGGTTCCCGCAGGCGGAACCACGGGTGGGGGTCCACCCGTGGCCCCACCCGCGGGTACACAATGTTGGCTTGTTGGGGATTTGTTCCCCGTGATTCTTTTGACTCGGTATTTGGTCTTTTGACTTCTCGATGTTCTTTTGTGGAACCATTTGAGTGTCTTCTTGATGTTTCGTATGTCTAGAACTATATGGTAGAAATCCATTTAGGTTTTGGTGTCTTGAATCGTGCTAAGTGTTCAACATTGTGATTCGTTGAACCATGATAGGTCTTGTGTGTTTTTCGAAACTATGTTTGGTTTACCCGTTTGATAAGCATGCTAATTCGGTGTTTAAATGCTAGCGTGTGTGTTGTTTGTCCTTTCCTATTGTGGATGATGACTTGTGTTAATCATCGTTGGAGTCGGATTGTGATCCTTTCCTTGTTGAGTATGGTTTCATATCTTCGTTGTGATCCGTTGATTGATTCCTGTTGTGGTGTGGTGTGTGTGGCTGTACCTGGATTGCACGATTAATGGTATTGGACATTAGTCACCAAGGTACGGCAGTGGTCCTCGTGGTGGCCATGACGCGATTATGGAGTTTGTGACCTGAGTGATGGGTTCACGTATTTCTTGGGTGGCATGTGTTGCCGTGTGTGTGATCGGTACCTCGTGTACTATGAATCGGTGGTTGTTGGTGGGAGACGATGGTCCAGGAAGGAAAAGGTTGGACTTGGATGTACAAGGGTCCTGGAGGTAATGGTTGGAACTAGCTATAAGGTTGGGGGTTGGGATGTCAATCGGGCCAGCCCACTCGGTTTTGGGCTAGCCTTGTCGGGTTGTCGGGCTAATCGGTTTATTAATATTTTATTTTCGGGTTCGGTTTGGCCCTAACCCTAAACTTCGGGTTGTCGGGCTAATCGGGCGGGTTGAACCATCTGAACTAAAATTAGAATCTGAAAGTGAGTACCCATATTTAGAGTAGGGATGACAACGGGGCGGAGCGGGACAGAATGGGGCGGGGCGGGAAGTATACTCCCCATCTCCGTCCTCAACGGAAAATTAAAAATAATCCCTATCTACGTTCCTGCGGAGAATTTGGCGGGGACGAAGAATTCCGTCCTCGTCAATTTTTAGTCAAAATATTATATTAATGTTGATTTAAATTTTAAAAAACTAAAAATTTAAGTTTTAATTTAAATTATATATATATATATATATATATATATATATATATATATATATATATATATATATATATATATATATATATTTATTTATTTATTTATTTATTTATTTATTTATTTATTTATTTATTTATTTTAAAGTATAATAATTATTCCATGTATGTTAAGTTTTACATCACTTCTATAATAAAGAATAGTTTTCAATAGTTCAGGTTGTCGAGCTAGCCCTTTTAATTTCAGGCTAGCCCTATCGGGCTATCGGGTTAATCGGTTTCGGGCTCGTCGGGCTAATGTGTTTTATCGGGCTAGCCCGTTCGGGCTATAGCCCTGTCGGTTTCGGTTTTTTTCGGGTTGGCCCATCGGGTTCGGGCTAAATTGACATCCCTAGTTGGGGGTAGCCATAATGTTAGAAGCGGGCATAAGGAAAGCATCTCAATTCGTGATGGGTGATGTCACGAAGGCTTGTGTAGCCGTTGTTGTGTATTTCTCTATTTGTGACTAGTGTGTCACAAAGGCATGTGTTGCCGAGGGTTGTGTCCTTATTCTCTTGTGTTATGCATGTCGGGTGTTAATCTACTGTGTGATGGTAGATTATGCCTTGAGCCGTTCTTGTGAGTCGTTATTTCTTCTTGTTATATTGGGATGTGTTCCCTTATCTTTATTGTAAGTGCAAAGAGTCTTGTGTTTGACTTTTATCTTGGCTTTGAAATTGATATATACTATATCCCGTTTCGCAAATGATTTTGTATACATATAAACTATCTACATATGATATTTCACATATATTGGTGAGTTACCAGCATCATTCGCTGACCAGGTGTCGTCCCATATATATATTTGTGTTCTTTCAGGTGCTGAGTATATGAGAGCGCGGTCTAGAGGCAGTTAGTGTAGACCCATTTTCCTTGTGATGGTTTGGGCCTGCGTGCCTTTGATTAGACTCTAGATTTATGTTGTTGACTTTGTTTTTGGGATAGTTGGATCATGTTGCAGATGTTTACGCCTGTGCGTTCACTGTTGAGTGAGTGTGGCATAGCACTCTACGTTTTCCATATATTTCATATCTAGTCTTCCGCTGTGTATGTTTTATGGTTAGTTTATCTGCATGTTTAAGGTTTAAATTCGTATGGAAATCGGGGGTGTTATAGTAGCCACACCCGGTATACTCCAACCCTTAGCCATTCCAGATCAAGATTGGAAGGGGATCTAAATCATAGAATATGGAAGTAATTTTGGTTGTTGATAGACTCACAAAATACAGCCATTTCGTTGCCTTGTCGCACCCCTATTCTACTGAAAATGTAGCAATGGCCTTTTATGGAAAATATCTATAAGCTTCACAGGTTACCAGAGGATATTGTGTCAGACAGAGATAAGGTTTTCCTCACTAGATTTTGGCAGTATATCTTCAAGTAGTTACACGTTCAATTGAACATGTCTACATCTACCACCCTCAGACAGATGGACGAACTGAAAGGGTTAATCGATGCTTGGAGACTTATTTGAGATGCATGGTGTTCCATAAACAAAAAACTTGGCACTAAGTGGCTGCATTTGACAAAACATTGGTATAATGCCAACCTCCACATCTCCTTGCAATGCACTCCGTTCCAAGCTCTTTATGGGAGTATGGGTATAAACCTCCTATTTTGGCACTAAGAATTGATTAGGGAGTTGAAAGCATGAATGATTAGCAGAAAGGGATGCATTGATAGCACTGTTGAGAGATAATTTAAGACTTTCCCAGAACAGGATAAAACAACAAGCAGACAATAGAAAAAATGAAAGGGTTTTACAAGTTGGGGAATGGGTCTACCTGAAATTGCAACCCAACATGTAAGTTACTGTGGTTGTAAGAGCCAATTTGAAGTTATCACCCACATATTATGGCCCTTACCAAGTGGTGGAAAAGGTGGGTGTTGTTGTTTATAGGTTATCCTTGCCTTCAGGATCACAAATTCGCCCAATATTCTATATTTCTCAATTAAAAAGGAAGATATGAGAGCATATCACTCCTGAGGTTGATCTCCCACTCACATGTCCAGAGGGAGAAATCTTGACTCAAAACAAGAGACTGTTTAAAAGAAACAACCAAGCTGTGGCTCAAATCCTAGTCCAGTGGGCAAATCTTCCTAAGGAGGCAGCTACTTAGGAAGACTACCACCATATTATCCACTAATTTCCCACCTTTGATCCTTGGGACAATGATCTATTAGAGAGGGGAGTACTGTAATGATATTGGAAGCTGGGAAGGATGGAAAGAAACAGAGGAAGAAGAAGGGAAAAGCTGCCAGAGGAGAAGGAAGTCAGAAAATGAAACTACACCAAAACGGCGTTGTTGGATGACAGGTAGTTGCATGCTGTTAATAAGATCAGATGGCGTAATTTATTTGTTATTGATTTTTTTTTTTTTTTTTTTTACATCTATGTGTTGATTATTTTGGGAGAATTTTAATGGGTTGTTATGCATTAGAGTATATGAGCTTTAGTTGTTATGTTGGATGATTATACAAAACACTTTGAAATTTCTATTCCATTTTCTCTCAATTTCTTCATACTCTACTTTCTTTTTTGCAATTGCTCTCTTCTTTATCTCTCTTTTGCTTGTTCTTTCTTCTTCATTACTGCAAAATTTTCAGGTTCACTACACATTGGTGGTTAATTTGAATAACAAATGGTAACAATTAGAAAGTCGAAGGATCATATGTGATCGATTTAAAAATTTAAGACTAAACGTGACAAAAATCACTATACTCGTAGGATCTCATATAACATTAACTCATTCTATTTCCCAATTGAATTGAATGGCTATGGTCTATGCCTCTATGTATCCATGTTATACATCGGATTTATTCATATAAAGTTGAAGAAAAATGGTCAAATAGGCCCCTAAACTTTACACCAAAAGTCAATTAGGCACCTAAACTTTAAAAATGTGGAATTAGACCATCAAACATGTCAAATTGAGCCAATGAAGCCCATGAACCAGTAAATGACCTGTGACTACAGGTCATTTTTATTCCAGCGAAAAAATTCGGCGACCGGCACGCCATATACGGCGGAAGGCGACCTGAACTGGTTGCCTTCCCTTGGAGAAGGCGACCAATTTTCTGGTCGCCTTCTCTAGTGGAAGGCAACCAGTTGCGACCTTAAAGGTCGCCTTCCGTCGTATATGGTGGCCGTCGTCGAATTTTTTCACCGGAATTAAAATGACTAGTAATCACATGTTATTTACTGGTTCAATGGCTTCATTGACTCAATTTGACATGTTTAAGGGTCTAATGACATATTTTTTAAGTTTAGATGCCTAGTTAACTTATGGTGTAAATTTAGGGGCCTATTTGACCTTTTTCATAAAGTTGAAGATAAAGGCCCATTTTTATAACGGGTCACAAATCGGATCCTCCTTCAAACCAAATGCCTATGAGCAGACACTACCCCTGTTTCACTCTCAGCCATCGCCAAATGCCAATGTTTTCTCAGCTCCTCCATAGCTCTGCAACTGTAACACTTTCTTCACTACATGCTCAATGCTTCAGAAGCTTGACTCCCTCAATCTTCAACTGCCCAAAAACACAAACCCTCCATCTCCAGCCCCGCCGACCCACAGTTATACGCGCAGAGAAGAGCAGTAGCGCTGAAGGTTTACAACAAAACTGGAAACAGTTACTGGAAAAATGGTCACCCAAAAACTTTCTTGGAGCTGAGAAAGTGCTTAGACTCATATCTGGAGCAACCTCCAGTCCCATTGCTCAGTACATCCCTTCCCCTACCACTTTCTTGCACTCTACTGACCCCAGGATCAAATTGGTACAAAGTTATAATCCTTTTGGTTTTGTCTCTTTAAGATAATGTGATCATTTCCTGTTTTGGGCTGTTTCCATGAATTGTAATTTGATGAATTAGATTGATGGGGGTTTTTAGTTTTAGCTACATGTAAGGCTAATGAAGTGAGCTCTTTCGTTTGGTATCATGAAGTATTGAGGTTTTTGGGGTTACTCGTGGAAGACTGGAAGGTGTTTTATTGCTGAATAGTGTATATAATGTTTATGGGGATGAGAATTTCTTATTTAGTTCATAAACATTCAGGCTTCAGTGCTGTTTGTTTATTGGGAGAGGCAGGAAAATACAGTAAAAAATATATATATACCGGATATCTCTGCCTTCCCTTTCCATGTAGAAAGTTATATCCATTGCCAAGAAGTTCAGTGCAAAAACAACTTTTATTTGGGGAAGTTGCAGGAAAAAGTTCCTTCAAAAGTTACATCATAGTTTTGGATGTTTATTGAAATTCTGTTTTACCTCTTCCATTCCTATTCTCTTCAAGTTCTAAAGTGAAGGAATTGTTTTGTTTTGAAGAACGCATGGGAAGAGATTTGCTTTCTATTTTTCTGTATAGTTTGTCAAACCAATTCTTCTTTGTACTTTAAGAAAAATGTTTTTTTTTTTTTTTTTTTTTTTTTTTTACTGCTTTCATTTACTTTCTATTTTATTTATTTATTTATTTATTTATTTATTTGTAAAGTGGTGCTGTGTGCTATGCAGGCATGGCTACTTACTCTAGTTATTTTACCAGCAAGGTCGAATATTGTTCTGCGTCTTGGTTTGGTTGTCTACTTGACTGTATTATCTATATGGATCCAGCCTGAGGAAGTGTGGAAGGTAAGTGGACCTCGAAAAGCTGAATGTAATAAGATTACTGCAGGCACATCAAAGAGAGAAACAAATTTCCTAGGATTTTGGATGGTTTATGTATTTTTTATTTACTCCTCTATTATCAATTTGTTTAATGCTGGAAACTCTCTTGTAAGTTCTGTTCAACATACTATGTTTTGATAGGATCAACTAGGAAGAGTATCACTGCTCTCTGGGATCTTGTTTATAATGTTGGCCCTAAGCACTGACTCTGCACCTTCCCTTGTCTATTCAAGAGCACCTCCACCTTCAATGATCGGACTACCTAATTTTCCAGCTTCTTTGGAAGGTTATTCATATGTAGTTTTTAAAATGGGACCATTACAAATTACCAGAAAGGGCTTGTTAACAGGAAGCACATCAGCCTGTTTAACCTTCACAGTAAGTGGCGTTTCACCTCCACCTTTATTTTTATATGCTTATCTGCTAACTGTTTGTGGTACAGCACTTGTGCTCCTGCTGCTAGTATTAGGTAGATTCTGAAATGAAGCATAGTCATTAATTCATCAGATATGATCAGCATGCATACTTTGTATTTTCTGCTGTACGTAATTTGAATTTTGCCCATTTACTATTCACATTGACGAGACATATCTCTCAAAAACAAACAAAAGTTTGAGCCTAAAACCAGCAATGGTGATGTAATCAAGCTTCAAGGTGTGAAATTTTAATACCACTTGTTGCTGTCCTAAATCTGTTTAGAATGTTGGATATTAGATAGGAAACTGGTACTCTATTCTTGTTATGGAATATATAAGTAATATGGAATCTATATATATTAGGCAGTCTGGAGTTTTAGGGTTTTGAGTAGGTAGTCATAAGGAAATTTGTTTCCTTATTAGAAGTCTTCTAGCATGTATTTATAGGGCTGTGTATTCAGAAATCTTCTCTTTACTTTCGTAACTTGGTAACAGAGTCTTTACGATATTATTTTTTTCACTCCACTGTCATCACCGCCCACCTAGGGAGGAGCGCCGGCGTCCGGCGACCACGCCTGCGAAATTCAGCTCTAGTTTGGGCAGCCACGCGCCACCGTTACTCGCGGCCACCTTCCTCACGCGCCGGCACGTGCGGCTCCTCCGACGGTCGGAAAATTTTTTCGTCACCTGTTCCTGGGTCGCCTAAGTCAATTTGTCTCGGTTTTGGGCTTGGTTTGGATCATTGTAGCTTCCGTGATTATTGCTCTACGATCAGGTTGTATCGTACACCTTCAGGATCCTAGTTTGTGTGCTTTGTGATCTGTTTTTGGTGATTATAGTTGAGAATAAATCTGTTGTTGTGAATTATTCTTGTGACTTCCAAAATCACATACGGTAAACTTCATGATTCTAATTATTTGGAGTGTGTTGAAATTGAGGGATTGAAAGGCCTGGCGGATGGAGAATAACCACCACCCGCCAGTTAGGCGGAAGCAAAATATGTGAGAACCAAAGATAAGAGAATAGAAAGAATATATTATATTGAAAGATTACAATAGATCGTATCTCTATGTGTTCTATACTTCTGTGGACCTCTATACATACTAAACAATATACTAAATTAATTCTAATAAGAATATGAAACTACTAATAAGAATAGGAAACTAAGACATCTTCTACTAGGAATGAGACAAAGGTTTCCTAATATTCAATACTCCCCCGCAAGCTGGAACATTTCCAAGTTTGGATTAAAACAAGCACACTACCTCACTCAAAATTACAAATGAAAATTAAATGCAACTAGAGGATAACAATGCTGGATGGCTTCGGAGGGACAATGCTATACACAACCCTTGGGAATGAAGGCACCAGGGGCGAAGCTTGTCATGAACAACCTTGGGAATGAAGGCACCAAGGGTGAAGATTAACATGAACGCCATCACAGCAACATAAGCACTCTAGGATGGATGACTTCAAAAGAGATTGCGCTATGCCTGACCCTTCCTTGGGAATGAAGACGAATGTGCACCAAGAATGGAGCTGAACACGATCCTTAGGAGTAAAGATGAACACACCAAGGACGGAGCTGAACACGATCTTGGGAATGAACACACCGAGGATGAAGTTGAACACGATCCATAGGAATGAAGATGAACGCACCAAGGATAGAGTTGAACATGAACAACCTCCAGATAACACAACATAAACACTCTACGACATGCCAACAAAGCCTTCATCGAGAGCGGTAGAGGTGAAAAGGGAGCAAAGAATAGCCAAGGATGTAGTAGAGCCCATAGTAATTAAGATAAACCCGAAGCAACGGCCAACGAGATGAAGATAACCAGGAAAACAAAGTAAAATAAGTAAAATAGAACACTGAATGATTGTAGATAGTCAAACTCCCCCTTACTAGAAATATGGGAAATAATCAAAGGCCTTTATAGTAGTGCTGAAACTGAACAACCATGGATAAAGCATACCGGAGATAAAGAAACAAACACGGTTATACCAAAACACAAACACCTTAGGGAGAAGTTTGGCAACAAACCCAAAACAAAGCCATCAAATTTCACCAAAAAGGTCCAAAGACAGGCAAAACATCAATTTGGGAAAAATACATCACGGGCACATAGATGGAGTCGAGGAGGACTGGCGGAGAGAGCTAGCAAATCTTGCCAGAAAATATCGTCGGAGGTAGCCTCACGCGCCTGCGCGTGAAGACGGCGGTGGAGGAAGGAGACCAAATTTTCCAGTTTAGGCCGCAAAAGGGAGAGGAATCCATTGGTGTAGGAGGTGAGATCACAAAATCACCGGAGAAGAGGAGATCTGGCCGGAAACAGATGGGTTCTCCGGTGACGGGCGGGTGGCGTGTGGAGGCGCGTGCAGTGGCGGAAGGCAATGGGTTTTACGCCGAAGTCTCGCGACGAGGTTCCAAGTAATGATGTGGTGTTAGTTTCTTCGAACAACAACCAGAAGAGCGTTGGAATGAGATGGGCAGCGGCAGCCGCGTGTTGCCGAAAAAATTGGTGTTTTAAAAAATTTTTAGAAAGAAGTGTGAAAGTGTGAAGGGTTTCATATATTTCTCATCGAAGACTGTACAAAATACCATAATTTATACAGGACAAGCTATAACCTAATGGGCCCACTATAACGGGCCTAGGGTTTCAACACTCCCCCTCAAGCTGGAGAGTATAGATCATAAACTCCAAGCTTGTTACAAATATATTCAACTCTAGGAGCTCTAAGGGATTTTGTCAAGATATCAGCTAACTGATCTGCAGAATTGACAAAGCTAGTTTTGATGCACCCTGACACAATCTTTTCTCTGATGAAGTGGCAGTCAACCTCAATGTGTTTAGTCCTTTCATGATAAACAGGATTTGATGCGATGTGTAGAGCTGCTTGGTTGTCACATATCAATGCCATTTGAGCAACATTGCCACATTGCAATTCTTGTAGTAGGTGTTTAAGCCATAAAAGCTCACACGTCGCAAGTGCCATGGCTTGATATTCCGCTTCAGCACTGGACCTAGCAACCACATCCTGCTTCTTACTTTTCCAAGATATGAGATTACCTCCAATGAGAATACAATAACCTGAAGTAGAGCGTCTGTCAAATGGACAACCAGCCCAATCTGCATCACAATACCCAACAACTTGTGAATGTCCTCTATCTTCATATAATAAGCCTTGTCCTGGTGCTCTCTTGATATACCTTAGAAAATGAACAACAACATCCCAATGAGAATCACAAGGAGTCTCAAGAAACTGACTCAACACACTTACTGCGAAAGAGATATCCGGTCGTGTGATCGTGAGATAATTCAGCTTTCCAATTAATCTCCTATATCGCTCTCGGTCAGGCAATGGCTCCCCCTGTCCTGGTAGGAGTTTAACATTCGGATCCATTGGATTATCAACCGGTCTACTACCCAACATGCCAGTTTCTTCCAAAATATCCAAGGCATACTTTCTTTGAGAAATAACAACACCACTGCTAGATTGAGCCACTTCAATTCCAAGAAAGTATTTCAGCTTGCCCAAATCCTTGGTCTGAAACCGACCAAAGAGATACTCCTTCAACTGAGATATGCCCTCTTGATCACTCCCTGTAATAACAATGTCATCCACATATACTACAAGGTATATGCATTTCCCATTAGAATGACGATAGAAAACAGAATGATCAACCGCACTTCTAGTCATACCAAACTCACACACCACAGAACTAAACCTTCCATACCAAGCCCGTGGAGATTGCTTTAAACCGTACAACGAACGGCGAAGTTTACATACCAGACTAGACTCCCCATGAGCAACAAACCCAGGTGGTTGCTCCATATAAACCTCCTCATGAAGATCACCATGAAGAAAGACATTCTTGATATCTAGCTGGTGTAAGTCCCAATGATGAATGGCTGCCAAAGACAAAAGTAATCGAACTGAAGCAATTTTAGCAACAGGGGAAAACGTATCAGTATAATCCAAACCAAAAATCTGAGTATAGCCTTTTGCCACCAGTCGGGCCTTAAGGCAATCAATTGCACCATTAGGGCCCACCTTCACCGTATAAATCCATCTACAACCAACAACAGTTTTACCAGGAGGAAGAGGAACCAACTCCCACGTGCCACTAGACTGGAGGGCCTCCATCTCTGTTAACATGGCTTAACGCCAACCTGTATCCGAGAGAGCCTCACGAGTGGTTTTGGGTATGGACACAGAAGACAGGTGAGAGAGAAATGCAAAGTAAGGGGAAGAGACACGATGATAACTCAGAAAGGTATATATAGGATGTGGGTTACGAGTAGAACGTGTACCTTTTCGAACAGCAAAAGGTGCCTCAGTGAGATCAGTGTCAGATTGCGGTGGAGGTGGAGGAACCGCAGCCGGAGGATCGGACAGCATAGGTGAGTCACCAGGGACCTCAGGAACAGCAGGGCGAGGACGACGATGATAGACCTAAAGAGGCGGGTTAAGGACAGTCGGTTGAGCTGGAGGAACAGTGGGCTGAACAAGAAGAAGAGGACCAAGATAAGGTATGGGAAGCACCTCAGAAACAGGGGTCGTGTCCCTTGAGGTGGGCTGGAAAAACGGTGTGGATTCAATAAAGGTGACATCTGCAGACACAAAGTGACGCTTGAGTGTTGGAGAATAACACCTATAACCCTTTTGGACACGGGAATAACCCAAAAAGACACACTTGACTGCTTTAGGGTCTAATTTGGATCGACCTGGGGTCATGTCATGAACAAAACAAACACACCAAAAACACGAGGAGGAATAAGGAAAAGATCAGCAGAAGGATACACAATGAAATATGGGGTGTCATTGTTAAGAGCAGAAGATGACATACGATTGATCAGGTAACAAGCAGTAAGGATAGCATCAGCCCAGAATTGGGAGTGAACATGAGAGTGTAACAACATAGTACGGGCAATTTCTACTAGGTGCCCATTTTTACGCTCAGCCACCCCATTTTGCTGAGGTGTGTAAACACATGACCTTTGATGCAATATCCCACGAGATGTCATATAGGACTGGAAAGGATTAGAGAGATATTCTTTAGCATTATCACTACGCAAAACACGAATGAGTTTTCCAAATTGAGTGTGTATTTCAGCACAAAAAGTTTGAAAAATCTGAAACAATTCAGAACGATCTTTCATAAGGAAAACCCAAGTGCATCTAAAATAATCATCAATAAAGGTCACGAAATAACGAAAACCCAAAATAGAGTTGACACGACAAGGACCCCATATATCTGAATGAACTAAATCAAAGAGAGATGCAGCCCGATTATTGACTCTTCTTGGAAAAGACTTACGTGATTGCTTTCCAAGATGACACGACTCACATTCAAAAGACTCAATAGACAGACCTGGGGCCATCCGTTTTAGTTTAGAGAGACTAGGATGACCCAAACGACTATGAATAAGCAAGGGAGACTTTGTAGAGGCAGAAGCAGCAACATCACCACCCCGCATGTAATAGAGGCCTTGTGACTCACTGCCGGTGCCAATCACCCTCCTCGTACTGCGATCCTGCACAACAACCGAATCAGCACAAAAGGTTATGGAACAATTGAGAGTACGGGTAATTTTACTCACAGAGATAAGGTTGAAGGGACTATTAGGGACATATAAAACAGACTCCAAAGAGAAAGATGGTATAGGGGAAGCCTGATCAACACCAGTTGCTGGTGTTTGATGACCATTAGCTAAGGTGACCATTGGTAAACTCTTAGACTTAGACATTATGCAAAAGAGAGGTTACCGGAAATATGATCTGAAGCACCTGAGTCCAATATCCAAGATTTTGGAGTATTGGTGTTTGAAAGACAAACCAAAGATGAAGTACCAGCATTTAGTTGGAGATGTGGAAGAATCAAGGCGGGACACTGCTTTAAGTTGGAGATATTCTTCATACTGCCTAGGGGTCATCGCAACTGAAGTAGAGCTTGGTTCATGAGTCTGACTCTCGGATTCAGTGGCTTGGACTAGATTAGCAGAACGGGGAGGTCGACCATGTAACTTCCAACAACGATCTTTGGTATGACCATCTTTGTGGCAGTAGTCACACCGAGGACGTTTCCCACGACGAACACCACCACCACTAGATGGTCCAGAGGGTCCTCTATTCGTAGTCCGAGTAGCTAAAACTGATGATTCTCCAATAGGCTCAATTGAGGGAGCTGAGGCAACACGAAGCAGTCTGGCAGCAATATCAGTGAAGGTAGGCACAGAAGGACTGACAGGATCTGATCACGAACGTGAACCTGGTCAGGCCGAAGGGCAGCTAAAGTCAACACCATAAAGAACCAATCACACTGCTTCGCATGATTTTCTGCTGTCTCCTGATAGGGCAATAAATTATTATACTCCTGTTGTAAAGCTTCAATTCGACCCAAAAAATCCTGTGTACTCATATCAGCAGTTGAACGGAAATTAAGCATATTAGATATTATGGTATATAGCCTTTGGATATCATTGGTATAAAGTGACTTAGCTTTATTCCAAACATCATAACAAGTTTCATAAGACTTGTAAATGAGATAGAGTTTAGGGTTGTTGGGACTCATTATTATGCTTTTATTATTTCCAAAGACTGTTCAGTTTCTATGTCTGTTAGTATCCCTAGGGCTATGTCTGTTAGTGTCCCTAGGGCTCTATTAGTATTCCATCTTCTACCTATATATATATGGTACTGTGTATTTGCTTGTAGACAGAGTGTAAATAACAAGACAATACTTTATTCTCCAAACTCCTTCAACATGGTATCAGAGCCACCATTGGCCTGAATCCCTTTTTATTTCCGAGCATGAACAGTATTTTCGAGGATGAACAGTAGCAGTGCAGGGTCTGTCTACGCTTCCTCTTCGAAAACCCCTCATCGCAAGTTTTCATAAAGTTCCGAAGAACCACCGCCGGTCTGGAAGTGCAGGCGACCCCCGCCGTGGAAGTCCCGTCGCAAACCGCCGCTGCACGCGCCCTCACGCGCCACCTTACGCGCTGCCTCCCGCCGTCACGCGCCTCCACGCGCCGGCGCGTGAGACCTCCTCCGGCAATTTTTTTTTCCGGCGAAATTTTCCAGTTCCATTTTCGACCCTCCTCTGGCTTTCCTGGTAATATTCTTCTTTTTTATCAACCATGTCTTCAACTGGAACCGAGGAAACTTCTACCAATGTTGAAAATGCTATTTCTCGCTCAGTGTTTGTGCCTAATTTATCTGGAAATCCAGTTATTACCTCTGAAAAATTATGTGGGTCACAAAACTACCACTCTTGGTCGGATGCCGTTGAAATGTGGTTTATGGGCCAGGGTGTTATTGACCACTTGGAACATGGGGTAAAAACTGAGGTACCAGAAAATGAGAAGGCAATTTGGAAAAGGGTGGATGCACAACTTTGTAGTCTTCTATGGCAATCCCTTTCACCTGAGTTAATTCAACTATTTAGAGTTTTTAAAACATGTGTTGAGGTATGGAATCAAGCCAAATCCTTGTACACTAATGATATTTCACAATGTTACACAGTTGTTGATAATTTGGTTAATTTAAAGAAGGATGGTATGAGTATGGAAGCCTTTCTTGGGAAAACTCAAAGTTTATTAACTGAGTTTAATAAGCTTTTACCCGTTGGAGGGACACCTGATGAACAGATTGCCCAACGTGAAAAGTTTTTTGTTGTTCTGGTTTTGACTAAATTAGGCCCCGAGTTTGAGAATACTCGAAACCAGATTCTTGGGGATAAAGGTGTGCCAGGGGTCCAAGAGTTGTTCAAACGCCTTCTTCAAGTGGCCTCTTTTCCTGGTGAAACTTCTGCATCCACTACAGAACAATCTGCTCTTGTGATCCAAGGAAGTCGTGGTAATAATCTGGGCAACCGGAATAAAGACCGTAGTGGGCAGAAAAATGCTAGATACTGTGATTACTGCAATAGATCTGGACACACACGGGACCGATGTTAGAAACTGCACGGGAAACCGTTGCCTGCTCCTACAAATGTGGCTCAACTCAAACAAGAAGAATCAGGTTCTAAAAATGTCTCTCTTGCAGAATATGAAGAGTTTGCACGGTTTAAGGCTAATGCCCAAGCTACTGTTTTCACTCCTTTGGCTCATACGGGAGAGACTCATGCTGCCCTTGTTTCTCAATCTGGACCTCTCGGACCATGGGTCCTTGATTCAGGTGCCTCCGAACATATATGTGGAAATTCTTCCTTATTGACACATCTCACAAACTCTAAGTCTCTTCCGTCCATTGTGTTTGGTAATGGATCCATATGTTCTGCTAAAGGAGTTGGTAAAGCAAGACCTCTTCCTGATTTACCCTTGTCATCAGTCTTGCATATACCTACTTGTCCTTTTAATTTGATTTCCATTCGTCAACTTACTCATTCTCTTGATTGTCTTGTCACCTTTTCTCCTGATTCGGTTATTATACAGGACCGTCGTTCGGGGAAGACGATTGGCTCGGGGTATGAATCAAAAGGGTTATACCGTCTATCCACTCCCGCTTCCGCTGTCTGTAGTGCTACTATTTCTCCTTCCCTTACTCATTGTCGTCTAGGTCATCCAAGTTTGAAGAAACTACAACAACTTGAACCGAGTCTCTCAAAGCTGTCTTCACTAGAGTGTGAATCTTGTCAATTTGGGAAACATTCAAGAACCTCCTTTCCTGAACGGGTTAATAAAGTGTCCTCATCCCCTTTTTCCTTAGTTCACAGTGATATTTGGGGTCCTTGTCGTGTCACTTCTGTGTTAGGTTTTAAATATTTTGTTACTTTTATTGATGACTTTTCGCGTTGTACTTGGGTTTTCCTAATGCAACGACGTTCTGATCTATTCAACATCTTTCAGAAATTTCATAATGAAATCAAGAATCAATTTGGAGTCTCTATTAAAATTCTTCGAAGTGATAATGCCAGGGAATATTTCAATACCCCTTTGTCTACCCTTCTTGACTCTGAAGGTATTCTCCATGAGTCTTCTTGTCCAGATACTCCACAACAGAATGGTGTGTCTGAACGAAAGAATAGGCATCTAGTGGAAACTGCTCGGACTATGCTCCTTCACTATAAGGTTCCCTCTTATTTCTGGGGAGATGCTATCCTCCATTCATGTTACCTTATTAACCGTATGCCATCGTCTGTTCTACATGGCAAAATACCTTATAACATATTGTTTCCTCAAGAGCCATTACACAAGCTTCCGCTGAGGGTTTTTGGTTGCACTTGCTTTGTTCGGGATATTACTCCTGGTCGTGATAAACTGTCACCCAAGTCTTTGAAATGTATTTTTGTGGGGTACTCTAGGGTTCAAAAAGGGTTCAGGTGTTATTGTCCTGAGACACAGCGATTCTATGTATCACCAAATGTTACCTTCTTTGAGTACACTCCGTTCTTTTCATCTGACTCTATAAGGGTGGCGGATCCTTTTCCTGATGTCCTACCAGTTCCCTCATTTGAAGGAGGGACAGAAATACCAATATCTCCTGTTGTCCTACCTCCCAATCCATCACAAACCCACACTGTTTCTCCTTTCCAGTTCACCTATCATCGTCGGTCAAAATTACCACCAACCACTACTGCTGCAGACATTGAACCTGTTGATTCATCTCCTGAGCGGTCTCTTCCCTCGGATTCGGGTCCTGCTCCAATCTCCAGTCCGCCCATTGCTAGTCGGGTAGGTAACCGGTCTACTCGCAATCCCTACCCTATATATAATTTTGTCTCTTATCACCGGTTTTCCCCTGTTTACAATGCTTTCATCTCCAGTTTATCATCTGTTTCTGTTCCTAATTCGGTTAGGGAAGCTCTTTCCCATCCTGGTTGGCAGCAAGCTATGGTAGATGAAATGGTTGCTTTGCAATCCTCGGGAACTTGGGACTTGGTTCCATTACCTCCTGGCAAAACAGTTGTTGGTTGTCGTTGGGTTTATAATGTCAAAGTTGGGCCTGATGGACAGATAGATAGACTCAAAGCTCGACTTGTAGCCAAGGGGTATACTCAAGTGTTTGGCGTTGATTACACTGATACGTTCTCACCCGTTGCCAAGATCTCTTCTATCAGAATCTTTCTGTCTATTGCTGCCATCCATCATTGGCCTCTATACCAGCTAGACATCAAGAATGCCTTTTTACATGGGGATCTAAAAGAAGAGGTGTATATGGAGCAACCTCCGGGTTTTGTTGCTCAAGGGGGGGAGACTGATTTGGTTTGCAAATTAAAACGTTCTCTTTATGGATTGAAACAGTCTCCACGTGCCTGGTTCGGACGTTTTAGTACAGTTCTGCAAGAGTTTGGGTTAGTCCAAAGCAAAGTGGATCATTCTGTATTCTACCGGCATCGACATGGTAAGAGCGTTTATCTTGTTGTTTATGTCGATGATATTGTTATCACAGGAGATGATGCAGAAGGAATACTCCAGCTAAAGCAACATCTTTTCCAACATTTTGAGACAAAAGACTTTGGAAAATTAAAATACTTCTTAGGGATAGAAGTTGCCCAGTCAAAGCAAGGGATTTGTATATCTCAACGAAAATATGCTTTAGACATATTAGAGGAAACAGGTATGAGTGATTGCAGACCTATTGATACTCCCATGGATCCTAACATTAAGCATGTACCGGAACAAGGGAAGCCCTTTTCAAATCCAGGAAGATATCGAAGATTGGTTGGAAAATTGTTGTACTTAACCGTCACTCGCCCTGACATCTCTTTTGCAGTTAGCGTTGTGAGTCAATTCTTGGCTTCTCCGTGTGATAGCCATTGGGAAGCTGTCATTAGGATCCTACGATACATCAAGAAGTCTCCCGGGAACGGTGTTTTATACAAGGATCGTGGAAATACAGAGATTGTTGGTTATACTGATGCAGATTGGGCTGGGTGCTCTTGGGATAGAAAGTCAACATCAGGATACTGTGTTTTTCTTGGTGGCAATCTAGTATCTTGGAAAAGTAAGAAGCAAAATGTGGTGGCTCGATCAAGTGCAGAGGCAGAATATCGGTCAATAGCCTTGGGAACATGTGAACTAATCTGGTTAAAGCATCTCTTGACTGAATTAAATCTTTGCATGAAAGGGCCTATTAAACTGATGTGCGACAATCAAGCAGCCTTGCATATTGCATCCAATCCTGTCTTTCATGAGAGAACAAAACACATCGAAGTCGATTGTCATTTTATTCGCGAAAAGATTACATCCGGGGAAATCGTTACCTCATTCGTGGGTACAAATGATCAGTTGGCTGATATCTTCACCAAAGCTTTAAGAGGTCCCAGAGTTGAATATTTGTGTACCAAGCTTGGAGCTTTTGATATTCATGCTCCAGCTTGAGGGGGGATGTTGAGACTCATTATTATGCTTTTATTATTTTCCAAAGACTGTTTAGTTTCTATGTTTGTTAGTATCCCTAGGGCTATGTCTGTTAGTGTCCCTAGGGCTCTATTAGTATTCCATCTTCTACCTATATATATGGTACTGTGTATTTGCTTGTAGACAGAGTGTAAATAACAAGACAATACTTTATTCTCCAAACTCCTTCAACAAGGGTCAATGGACTGCCACAACATGTTGCACAACAACGCATCTGCCTTTTCCCAATCTGATTTCTTCGATTCTTCAATTTCCCCAACCTTTCTGGTTAGATGGTCAGACATCCCCTGGCCTTTGAACCAGAGTTTCACAGAAGCAGCCCACGAAGTGTAATTTTCACTCCCAACCAACTTGTCCATAGTAATGGTAGGATAAGAGGTAAAAGGTGAAGCCATAGGCGTTACCAACAAAAACAGCACACTGTTTACTGTATTCTGGCCGATGGTGATCGGAGGCGGTGGCCGGAGAACGGCGGTCGGCGGCGGCAGGAAAAACGGACAACACTGTTCGGTGCGTCTCGTCGAGACGAGTCCAACAGTGGTGACGGCGTCTCGATCGGAGGCCGGAGGGAGGAGATCTGGCCGGAAAACAGTGGCGGATCTCGGCGACGACGGCGGCAGACGGCGACCGGATTTTGGGCTCTGGCTCGCGACGAGGCTCCGGTGAGGCCTGTGGTCTTGGTTTGGAAGAAGAACCACCAGGCAGATGTCGGAAAGCAAAAACAGTCGCGGCCGGCAGTGAATTCCGGTGGCGGCGCGGCGGCGGCGGGAAGGAAATGAGAAATAATATTTAGGGTTTAGGCTTTGATACCATGTGAAAGTGTGAAGGGTTTCATATATTTCTCATCGAAGACTGTACAGAATACCATAATTTATACAGGACAAGCTATAACCTAATGGGCCCACTATAACGGGCCTAGGGTTTCAACAAGAAGATAGCCTGGAAAACTTAGGCTCTAATACTATGTTGAAATTGAGGGATTGAAAGGCCTGGCGAGTGGAGAATAACCACCACCCGCCAATTAGGCGCACGCAAAATATGTGAGAACCAAAGAGAAGGAAATAGAAAAAATATATTATATTGAAAGATTACAATAGATCGAATCTCTATGTGTTCTATACTTCTATGGACCTCTATAAATACTAAACAATATACTAAATTAATCCTAATAGGAATAGGAAACTACTAATAAGAATAGGAAACTAAGACAACTTCTATTAGGAATGAGACAAAGGTTTCCTAATATTCAACAGTGGAGTAAGGTTATTACGCTTTACCTCACTAGTCTTGGTAAAGAGGAACATTTAACTATCTAACTAAAACTTTGTCTGGTCAAGATAGTGTTTGGGTACGGGATGATGCCCGTTTGTTTCTATAGATCAGAAATTCAATTACTGATGATATTGTTGGGTTCATTAGTCATTGTGACTCAGTTAAAGAACTGATGGATTATTTGGAGTACTTGTACTCTGAGAGGGGGAATATTACTCGTATTTATGATGTGTAAGGTATTTTACCGTACCGAAAGACAAAATTTGTCACTTATGGCTTATTTTATGGACTTTTAAGAGAACATATGAGTCCCTTAATAAGCTTATGCCATTCAGTAGTGACATCAGAGAGCAACAAAAGCAACGTGAATAAATGTCTGTTATGAGTTTTTTAGCAGGTCTCCCTTATGAGTTTGACACGGTGAGGTCAACAATTCTTAGTAGCTCTGAGTTCCCTACTTTGACTGATATCCTTCCACGACTGATTCGATCGGAGCAATCACAACCAAGTGTGCATGAGGTGATGGTCCCACCAAACAGTGCTCTCGTTGGTCAACATCTGCACAATGGGACCAGTAGCAACTCCAAGGGGCACACTTTAAGCAGTATTGTGTGTCATTATTGCCATAAGCCTGGGCACATAAAGAAGGATTGTAGGAAGTTGTTGAATAAAAATCGGGGGAACAATTCGTCAATTCTCCACTTGTTGCATCTGCACCTGATCTATCTACCAAGACGGTCTCAATCTCTGTTGATGAGTTTGCTAAGTTTTCTCAGTACCAAGAATCTCTAAAACATTAGTCCGCTCCGATCACTACGATTGCTGCTGCTGCTGCCTTAGGATCTTGTGACGAAGAGGGTTATTGGTAAGGGGCGTAACTCTGGGGGTCTCTACATTCTTGATCCCTAGAAGGATGGAGTCCGTTGCTTGTTTTGGTGTTGTCTATCCTTTTTTATTTTATTTTATTTTATTATTTTTTTTTTAATGCTCATTGTCGTTTGGGGCTTTGGTAAAGTAATTTGGTCCTCCTTTTTCGGAGTTTGTTTTCTTTACCTTGTTTGTCCAAAGCTTGTTCGGTCCATTTTGTGTTCGCCCGGTGTTTGTTCGTGGTATTGGTGGTGTCCAAGCTTCCGTTTCAGGGGAGTGTCCAATCCCAAGCTTATTCGGTCTACTTTGAGTTCACCCGACTGTTTGTGGTATTGGTGGCGTCCAAAGCTGTCGTTTTAAGGGAGTGTCCTAACTCCTAAATGGGATTTGAGTTAGTTATTTAGTTATTTTTGGGTTATCAGTTATTTGTGTAACAAGTTATATCTATGCTCCAACTTGAGGGGAAGTGTTATGGAATATATAAGTAATATGGAATCTATATATATTACGGAGTTTTAGGGTTTTGAGTAGGTAGTCATGTGTGAACTTGTTTCCTTATTAGAAGTCTTCTAGCATGTATTTATAGGGCTTTGTATATCTTTTTGAATGGAACAATATATTCAGAAATCTTCTCTTTACTTTTGTAACAGTTATTTTCTAGTGGTTGTAATGAGTATAGGTTTTTTTTGTCCGCACGGGCTGGTTTAGTAGGTAGTATTTGGGAGAAGAGACTAGAGTTCGAAACTCGGCAGCGGCAGTGTGGGGATTATGCCCAAAGCGGGCAGATCCCTTGTGTGCACCAACATTTGGTCCTGTTTGTTGAGCCACTAAGTTATCGTGATTTACATCCTTCCATATGCTCTATTGGGCCGGGGCGTGGAGGGCCCTTGGAGTTGGGGATTCAACTTTTGGGAGAAGAATATAGGTTTTGTTTAGTTATCTCCCAGCCCTACGAACTATTATTTCATTCTGATTTTGCTGCTTTTGATTACCAGATCTTTCAAAGTGCTAGTCTTTACCTGTCAACAACAACTCCAGAACAGATAGCATTTGCATTGCAGTGGTTTTTACGTCCTTTGGATAAACTTGGTCTTCCTGTGCCAGAGGTCATCCTTACGCTCCTGCTCTCCTTGAGATTTATAAATCTTGTTTTTGATGAGGTAATAAAGTTTTTCCCCTCTGCAATTATGTTTAAATAGACTGTAGACCAAACCCAGGCTCTCTTTTGCACAATTAGCTGATAAGCTAGCTCTAACTGTTGCTAGTGGTTAGAAGCTATCTGGAAGCTGAAAACTTATAAGCTAACAGATTGAATTGGAATTGTTTGGTAATAAACAATCCTTTCAACGTAAAGTAATGTATTTTTTGTTTATGTAATAACTTAAAGGTACATGTTAACAATTTGATCTTTTTTTATTTATGGATTTATAATAAGATGTTTAAAATTTATTTTTTATTTATGTATTTTTTATAAGACCAAATTAATAAAATAGTAACGCTTTGGACAAAATAAAAAAGAGGGATAGAGAAAGAAAAGAAGAGAGAGGTAACTGGCTGAAAAAGAACAGAAAGAAATAATGGAGGGAGGGAGGGCAAATTTGGAAATGACTATTAGGGGCTACTGAACTAGCTTAATTTTTTCTTAAGCTTGCTTACTAAACAACTCTAAAAGCAAAAAGCTAGCGTTTGGGTGTTGCCAAACATGCTCCAATTATAGTTAGCATTTGCAAACTGGTTTTGAAGTTAACACTAGCCTAATCTTGACAGGTTCGTAATGTTGCTCTTGGGATTGTATCCCGAAGGATAAATTGGGAGCAGTTAACTACCTTGGAGACTGTTGATGGTTAGTATGGAGTTAAAGTTACTTATAGTAACAATTATTAACTCTTATGAATTGAACGATGATAAGGTTATATAGTTGGTTATTTGAACATTTTAATACCCAGTTGAAGATGACACTTTCATACAACTCCTCATTGCTTGATCTACATTTTCTACGTGGCTGAATGTTTCCTTTCTGCCCTCTGAAACATATTGTCCATTACCTTGCAGTTTTCGTGACATACATTCGTCGGATCTTCAAAAATATTTTTGCCCATGCAGAACAGATATCTCAGGTTTGCATTTCTTTTAAATTTGAACAATATTCCCCCCACTCCACACACAAAAATAAATAAATAAATAAATAAATAAAGCTAGAAGCTCTGCAACTTCTAAATATCCTTTTGTTGTTTTAATAAAATAATGTTGTGTTTCTTACTGAAAACTTTATTGTTTTAATTGGTAGTTTTATCAAATTGATATGTTTGGAATTTATGTGGTTATTACATGATAATTCTTAGTTGGACCTAAAAGTTACCATAATCATTAGCCATCTTGCCAAAACTAATTAAAGATAAAGCAATGTGATGCATGCTAGGAGTAATTGAAATTGTTTATCCGATCCTCTGAAAGTACAGCATTTGAATCATGCAATGTTGCTGTTTGGAAGCATGAAATCCTAGATGATCAGCGATGTGATATACACGAACGTTACCGAATCCCACTCTCTTGATTCTACTGTATAAATGGCTGAATGTTATGCTGATAAGGAATATAAGTATTGACCTTTTAACTCACAATAACCACACGTCAAAAACCTAGATGTTAGCAATGCTGTTTTCTCGCATGATTATCTAAATGCTCAAGAAATCAGTTCCCAGTTCCCATCTGAAATGGACTGCTCAAAATTCTCGTGGTTTTTGCAGGCAATGATTGTGAGAGGCTTTCGAGGAGACAGCAAAGAACACAAAATCTTCTTGTCAGCAAATTCATCTATTACACTTGTAAATTGTATTTCCTTATCATTACTTGTTGGTCTGATTGCTGCAATCAACTTACCCAAACAGCTCTTTATTTGACACACCGTCTTTCATCAGTTGGTTAAAATCTATTCGTTGATGTATCGCTTTGTGATCACAGACCCAGGAGGATTTAGCTATCCAGTGATTCTGGATTGCTTTATGTATGACTAGGTAGCACAGAAATAGGAAATGAAAAATGAGATGTGGAACACTAGGAAATGGTAAAAATTTTAAAATGTAAGCCATGAAATATGGGATAAACATGTAAATATAAAAATGTAGGGGTATATTGATAAATGTTTTTTTCTTCAAATATGCATAAATGTTAATTGTTAACCAGTTTTATAATTAAAAGTAATACCTCACATTATGGGGAAATATAGAGGAGTATATGTTAAATACTTAAGCATACCGCAGCACACAAAAAAGGAAGAATAAAGAATGTAGCTTTATTCATAATAGCAAAAGCTCACATATTTTAAATACATGAAGTACAAATTTATACAATGACTTACCTGATAAATAGGCAACAAACAAAAAATATGAAAAAAAATGGGACCTTCTTGTTACTTAAATTATTGATTGGCTCTAACACCCCAGTTGGATGGTAGACAGAATGAATACCCTGCTTGGACTTAAAACTTTTCAATAAACTTTCAAAATTTCTTTCTTGATCCGTTCACGAACAAAATGACAATCAATCTCAATATGTTTTGCACGCTCATGAAAAACAGGATTTTCGGCAATGGCAAGCGCTGACTGACTGTTAGAGAAAAAAATAGATGTGGCGGAAAGTGTAATGCCTAAGTCAGATAGAAGGAAAAGAACCACTGGATTTCACAACTTGTGGTTGCTAACGCACGATATTCTGCCTCCGAAGAAGACTTAGACACGGTTTCTTGCTTTTTAAACTTTCATGAAATTAAAGATTCCCCAAGAAAAATACAATAACCAGTAACAAACCGTCTGGTTTTGAGACAAGTACCCCAATCAAAATCCGAGAAATCGCGTATATGTAAAGTTGAATTAGCCGAAAGAATAATACCTTGGCCATGTGAGCCTTTAATATACCGAAGGACTCTATGTGCAGCTCGCAAATGAACTTCTGTTGGAGCATCAAGGAACTGGGATAGCTGTTGCGTAACAAAAGCAATATATGGCCTTGTTATAGTTAAATTGGAGCAACTTCCCAACTATGCGCCTAGAAGAAGTAACATCGGCCAAAACAGGGCTATCAACATATAGCTATTTAGGAGAAAGAACCATTGGGCTATCAACTGGCTTGCTACCCAAAAAATCTGTCTCGGCTAACAACTCTAAAGCATATTTTCGTTGGCAAAGATTTATCCCTTCATGACTACAAGCCACCTCCAAACCTAGAAATTATTTTAGTGAGCCAAATCATTAATACAAAGGTAGCGTGAAGACGACTCTTTAGCTCTTGAATTTGACCAAAACCAGGACTAGCAACAACAATGTCGTCAACATAGACTAACAAGGCTATAAAAGATGCCCTAGACCCTCTAGTAAATAAAGAATGATCAGACGAGGCTTGCGAAAAACCTTGATGGACAAGTTCTTCAGTCAACTTTTCATTCCATTGTCTACTTGCCTGCTTTAAACCATACAAGGATTTAACAAGCTTCTTGCAAACTTGTCCTGGCTTTTCAGGTTCGACTCTTGGAGGCAAAGGCATATACACCTCCTCATGCAAATCGCTATGCAAGAAGGCGTTATTAACATCAAGTTGATGAAGATGCCATCCTTGAATTGCAATAACAACTAACAAGGAACGAATCGTAGTAACTTTAGTGACTGGACTAAAAGTATGTAAATAGTCCAAGCCCGGAGTTTGAGTGTAGCCTTTTGCAACAAGACAGACTTTATACCTCTCGACTGAACCATCAGCATGAAATTTAGTTCGGTAAACCCACTTACAACCTATAGGTCGTTTATGTTGCGGACAGAGTGGTTAACACCCAAGTATTGTTCGCATGAAGGGCATCTAACTTAGCTTGCATGGCATCTCGCCAACATTTGAAACGAATAGCTTCATTGTAATTCTTTGGTTCAACTACACTGGAAGTGGCTAACACAAACCATTTGTGTACATGAGAACTTGTCATAAGAAATAACATGCTGCAACACGTGTGGTGTGTTTTGGAGTTGGACAAGAAGCAAGTAAACCATTTCACACCAAGTAGCATTGGTAATCCCTCAAATATGATGGTGCAGTTCGAGTATGTGTTAACCGATGCAACCTGGAAATGGGGGGATCAGAAGTACCAATGTTTGTTGTACTTTGCTCAAGAATATTTTTTTGGTTTGTAGAAACACTGGAATGGTCATCATGCAAGACAAGGTGGTCAGTATGAAAATTACAGAAATATCATCACTTTCATTACTTACCAAAGTATCACCATTTTCATTATTTGGGTGGTCATCATGTAAAACAAGTTGGTCAGTATGAGAATTTGCAGAAATATCATCACCTTCACTTCCTACCAAAGTATCACCATTTTCATTATTTGTGGGCTCATGTTCAAATAGATTTCCAGAAATTGCAATATCAGGTGCTTCTTGTTGTACTCTACCCACTGGACTCAGCTCACTATGTGCTGAAAAATCAAAAAGAGCAGGAGGTTGAGTCATATCATCTGATGAAGGAAAACCTAAGCTTCCAGAGATACTGGCTATAGGTAGAGAAACAATTTGAGTGGATTACACTTTATAGAGTCCCAATTAGGATTGGCTGCAGCAAAAGGAAACTGAGTTTCATAAAACAACACATCCCGAGATACAAATATGTTCCTATTCTGCAAATCGTAAAGCGTATACCCCTTCATCCCTATTTAAAAACCAAGAAACACACAAGACCGAGCTCGGGGCGCAAACTTGTGCCAGTTCACACGCTTGGTAGAGGCATACGCCAAACACCCTACAACCCGTAAGTTATCATAATTTGTGGCTTTACGAAAAAGAATTTTAAAAGGAGTTCGGTTAGCAATCGTAGGAGAAGGAAGCCTATTAATCAAATAGACAGAATGCGCAATACAATCAATCCAAAAACTTTCAGGTAAAGAAGCTTGAAATCGTAGCGCTCTTGCTACATTTAAAATGTGTTGGTGCTTGCATTCCACCACACTATTCTGCTGTGGAGTTTCAACTTTCAACACAAGACATTTTATGTTTAATTCCTTTTAAAGCATAAAAATTCTTTCATTTTGAATTCTAATCCATTGTCAGTTCGAATACAACGCACACATATTGAAAATTGTGTAGCAACATATTGAATAAAATTCTACAAACACATGCGCGCTTCTGCCTTAGTTTTTATGAGACATACCCAAATCATACGACTGTGATCATCTACTATAGTAAGAAAAAAACAATGCCCATAAATCAAAGGGATACGAAAAAGACCCCAAATATCTACATGAATAAATTCAAAACATTGACTAGTAACACTTTCACTAACTTGAAAGGATAGTCATTTTTGTTTAGCCAAATGACAAATCTCACAAACAAAATTGGAATCACAATTTATGGACTCATTATGCAGTTTTTTTATTCGACGAAATGAAGCATGACCCAAGCGATAGTGCCAAATATCAACCTTGTGTGGAAGAAGTAACAAAGGAGCGTGGATAATTTGCATGCATCTCCCTTTTATTCAAAAGAAACCGGTACAACCCTTTGTCCAACTTAGCTAAACCAATCTCCTTCTGGTCCGTGCCCATCTGAATCACACAATAGTCAGCAAAAAAAAGACAAACTACAACCAGAATCTTTGCTAATTTGCTTACTAAAATCAAGTTAAGCTCAAAACTTGGAACATGCAACACACCTTTGTGGCTAATACGCTCCTAGTGCTTAGTTTCCACAAATAAATGTTTCAATCCAATCCTCCGTCACGGCCTGGCATTACCGGTTTGGACATCCTTCCAACAGTATTCTTAAAAAGCTAATAAACAGTTATGGGATAGGTATTAAATCTGCAAACGTTACAGAGTTTAATTGTACCTCTTGTAACATTATGAAGAGTCACAAGTTGCCCTTTTCAGAGAACTCTTTGTTCAGTTCCAAACCTCTACAATTAATATACATCGATGTATGGAGTACTTCTGACAAGTCCATTGGCGGTTACTCCTATTATGTCATATTTGTGGATTTTTTTACTAAGTATATTTGGTTGTACCCTCTTAAAAAAAACTGACGTATTCTTGGTATTCTCGCAGTTTAAATGCTTGGTAGAAACATTCTTTGGTCACATAATTGTGTCTATTTTTCTGACAACGGTGGTGAATTCGTTAAGTTAATACATATGTTTAACTTGTTTGGGACATCACACTTTACATCACCCCCACATACCCTTGAACACAATGGCACGGCTGAACACCAGCACTGCCACATAGTCGAAACTACTCTAACTCTATTACATAGTGCGTGTGACAACCCAAAATTTATTTTCCTAAATTCTATTTTATAAAATTTCAAAATAATTATTTTTACTCCTTTGAAATTTTTTATTAAATAGGTGTATGAATTAAATATTTTAAATCGTGATTTTTATTAATTCAACACCAAATATTAACCTATTTCGAAAACCGCAAGTATTGGGTATATATATATATATATATATATATATATATATATATATATATATATATATATATATATATATATATATATGTATCAAGTTTTGAAATCTGAACCAAATATTTTTATCTAGAAGCATCCTTATAGGAAATCATTTTTAACCCCAAAGATGTATAAAATTATCTTAATGCCCTAGCTTGGTTAAAAAGAAGAAGCCTTATGTTTTATAAGCAAATGTACCAAAATGCCCTTCTCAACCAACATCTCACCTAGGGTTTCGTACCCTATTTAAGCATAATTTTTTCACCTCTGAGAACTTAATCCCTCCATTTGCCTCCTTCACTCTAAGCAAAGCACAGTAAGCCATTTTCCTCCATTCATTTCCATCTTCTTCCTTACATTCATTCCCTGACATTCATCTTTCACCCTTCTATTTCACCTCTTCTATCTTATAGTGTATGAATGAGTATGTGATGGGTGTTGTATGTATTTATGTTATTGT